TCATTTCAGGTTCATTGTCAAACAGTTGACTATTTTGAATTATTGGTGTTCAAATGATAGCTGTGAACATAGATACCGTACACTTCACCACAGTCAGCTGGCTAGCTTTTTTTGAGGGAAGAAAATTATCCAATGACTTTTCCCGCCTTGGATGAGGCGAGATGGAGTGTCAGGCTCTTACTGACTAAAAACCACCCTGTTCCTACTTCTGCTCTTTGAGCTGGAGCCCCGGCAGCCCGTTAGGACTTCTGCGGCTCCGTATCGGAATACGCTCTTTTCTTGAAGGTTTGAAGGTGGTATCGATTCGGAAATACCGCCGACGACAGATCATTCCACAGTTTTACTGTGTAATGTTGTGGCCTGCCAACCATATATAATGGGGATGCATGTGCTGTCGTGAGGGTCGATGGAGAAAAGATGCGGTAGGTATCAGGTCAAACAATTCTGCAGAGCACTCCTCGTGGTATAAGCGATAGAAAATGCACAACGAAGCTACATCTCTACGCATTGCTATTGCCATTGGTATCTATACTATTAATATAAAGCTGAAGAGTTTGTTTTTTTGTTTGTTTGTTTATTTGTTTGAACGCGTTAATCTCCTGGATTACTGGTCCGATTTGAAAAATATTTCTGTGTTAGATAGTCCATTTATTGAGGAAGGCTAAGGCTAAGGATATAAAATGCAGAGCGAGTGAAACCGCACGGAAGTAGCTAGTACAAGACAAGACAGACAGAAGAAAGTAGCCTCCCCTTTCAGCAACAACGAGGAAAAGTCCAAATTTTTACCACACGAGGTCGTGTTCAAAAAGATAGTATATAACACAGATGTACTAGACTTCAAAATCATATAAGATCTAGGTATATAACGCTTAGTACATAGACATAGTCTAGGTTCTAAGTATAGACGTCTACGACACGCACTTTTGAAGACGGTTACCTGTTTCCATTGTTTCAATATTACAGACACGTCACACGTGATTATACGTTTGAAAATATAGTTATCAAGCATAGCGTTTTGGATTCAAGCTCTAACTATCCTACTAATACAGTGAAACCTGGTTAAGTGAGACACCGAGGGACCTGCAATGCCGTTTCACTTATAGAGGTATTCCACTTACCCAGTGTCTCAGATATACAGGTATAAATAAATATCTGTCTCATTTACAGAGGGTTCCATTAATCGAGTTGGACTTGGTATTACGGTTGGAATTTTTGGGTAGAATAAGAATGGGTAAAAACACAATGTTATCTCAGTTACAAAGGTTGATGCATATACAATTTACTCACTGTCTCAGTTATAGAGGTAACTATGATGATAAATCGAAAGAACAAATCCCAGATATAGAGGTTTACCTCGTCCCACTAACAGAGGTAATTCAGTGCTAAAGTGTTGGGACCTCAGCATGAGTTCCAGTTATGGAGGTTTCTCACTTATCCAGGTCCCACTTAACCAAGTTTCACTGTATTATAGAGGTAAATGCGAAAGTTTGTATCTTTCTTTGTGTATATTCAACTTACCAACGGCAACTACCTATGTAACTTTTTCCGAGTTATATATACTTTCTAAGATTATTTAGACACCATTGACAAACGGTGAAGGAAAACATCATGAGGAAACCTGGGGTTAAAATTTTTATTTATAAGTTTGAAATCACCAACCCGCATTGAGCAAACGTGGAGATTAATACTCAAACAATCGTGCGAGAAGAGGCCCTTGGCCAGCAGGGGCAATGATGATGAGTCGGTAAATGTTCATCTCAATTTCAAAATTCCTAAATATCTGTATTTCCTGAAGGGTATACCTATAACCTGGGTGTCTTCAAGTTCAAGGTCCGAGTGAATAGGTTGCTTATGGGACGACGTGCCCCGTCGTAGACCGTATCATCGCATCCACCAGGCGAGATAGTGGACAAAGGTCGGCTCATCAAATAAAAAAAAGTATATAGCGCCCTGATGACAATCCAATGGTTTTCAGTAAAAAACATTTCGAATCAATGGAAACAACACCAACCAGGCATTCTAACGAGTCTCCTACATTCCCCTCCTTTCACACACACAAACTCACGCACTTTTATACACACACATACACATCAGAGGGGAGACTTCTTGTTGGTATATCAAACGATGTAGTACCGACCTAGTTAGAAGGTTTTTAAACAAGAAATATATAAAAAATATGTTAAACTAGCTTCTGCCCGCGACTTCGTTCGCGCAATCCCGTTCTTTCCCGTTGCCGTTCGTGATTTTCGGTAAAAAGTAAAAAAAAAATCGAAGAAAAAGTATTCTATGTCCGTCTCCTGGGTTTTAAGCTACCTCCCCACCAATTATCATTCAAATCGATATAGCCATTCTTGAGTTATTAATAGTGTTCCTAACTAACACGATTTTAC